GTCTTCTTCTATTTCTATCATGTATCTTCTTTCCTCCTTTATGGAGTAGTCCTCTAAGGTAGTAAGGGTTCTAAACCACAAACCCTAGTTTTAGAGTATTATGTATGTATGGATATTTTAGGGTTTGAATGAATGAATGTGTTTGTCTAGTTGATTTTTAATGTTACTCTTTCCTAAATGATGACGCTTGGGTAAGTCGCCCTAATATTCCCTCTTAGCCTACTTTATGCTACCACGCTGGGTAAGGAGTTCTAGGGATAGACGGGTATGCGCCAGCTGGCGATTTAGGCTAGATGTGTGAATGAGGGCCTATAGTGGTCAAGGTGACCGAACTCCTGCTATAGGTAGCCTTCCTAGATGGAACCCGGGATGAAACCTCGCTGTGGACGGTGGATAGTATCTATTGAGATGATCCATAAGCTTAAAGCCCTAGATACGATAGCCTAGATCGAGGTGACTGAAATATGGGTTTAGGGAAGGTATACTCGGAGGCGTGTGGATAACGACGAAGGCCCACGGAAAAGAGCTCACTTACCACATTCCATAACCCTAAGTATCTATACATGCATAGTATCCATAAGCTAGGGGGAGGATTTGTTCCCCGAAGTACCTGCTTTTAGCTTTGATCAACCTCTAGACTAGTATTTCCTCATATCCTCCACTCAAAACCTCAAAACCCGATTACCTAATTAACAACAAGGTGGAAAGTATGCTAGGATACCAGGACCACAGTAGGATACGACATTGATTACCACTATACGACAATGCCGTCCTAGGTTAAACTTGGCGTATGATAGGATAGTTGTTGATACATGCAAACCACTGACAATAACATGCACGGATTCAAGTGATCAACGAGTTCGAGATAATTCTTTGATTGGTTTTATATACCAATTGTCCCTTCTCACGAGTTCGGATATGTTTGATCGATTTTTGCATTTTATCTTTAAGTATTGTGTTATTCAAGAAAGGAGAAAAGCCTTAAAAACTTTGACATGTGCAACTCTAGTGTTATGGTCCAAGTTCAAGGGGATTCTTCGAATTAGAGTCATATCAATATGATTGCAGGAAAGAATCTCCATAATCAATTGAAGATCAAGAGAAGATAGTTGAATTAAGAAACTATAAACACAAGGAAGCAACAAGACAAGCCCCACCAAATGTGGTAGAGCAATCCTAGACAAAGCAAGATCAACACTCTGTGATTAGCAATAAGGGTCAGAAGTGATAAAGGGCACTGTCTGTATTGCTTTAATGATTGTGAGCTTGTGTAGTTTCTCTTTTTAGCGTGAGTGCTTGTGAGGAAGAGAGAAAGGGGTATATTGCTCTATTCTTGTCAAGTGTTGGAGTTTCACCCAAAGGAACTCAACTTGGAGTTAGCCTGGAATAAGATAAAAACCTATACACTAGATCTTAAAGGGTAAGTCACCTTCGATCCAAGGCGTAAAGCAATATGCCAAACTCGGTTAACAAAACATAATATGTATGTGTGCCTCTTTTCCTACTCTTCTATATTATGTGTTTGATACTCAACAAGAACAATCTATTGGACGTTGAAGACGACTAGATAAGGCCTAAAGCCTATCTCGTCAAACACTTGGACTCTAACTACATACGAGTCAAGCCCAAACTACCAGTTTCCTATTTTTGGTATTGGTTCATCTTATTTTATAAGAATATTTGTGTGCAAATGTATTCTACAACATTTTTCTATTTTAAGTGGTTAACAACCCTTATCAATTACTAATCGGTTAGCTGCTAACAGTCGGTTATTAATCGTTTATTTATTTTTTATAAATGGATACAACGCATCTTAGCTTTCATTCACAACAAGACGAGGCACAGAAAAGCCTTGACAGTCATACATGATAAAATGACACAAACCCGGATCGAACACCGGGACAAGATGGGTACCCAAAGGAAGGGAGTGACCTCGACTAGCTAAAAAATCAGCGCACGTGTTTCCCTCTCTGTAGATATGGTAACACAAAACCTCCCAATCCCGTGCGCAAAGCTCCTGGAAACGCTCAATGACAACGGCGTGATGATGATCAGTGCTCTGGCTGTGGAGAAGCTGAACAACACACTGAGAGTCCAACTCCACACGAACCCGACGATAACCACGCTCCCAGGCTAACTGAAGTCCTTCTACAGCTCCTCTCAATTCTGCTCGGGTGATAGAACAAATCTCCAAGTTACTAGCGAATGCTGCGAGGCAGCATCCTGTATGATCTCTAATCAGGCCACCCGCTGTAGCATGGTCCGATTCAGGAATGACGGGGCTGTCTGAATTGAGAGTAACCCACTCTAGAGGTGGCGGCTTCCAAGAGATCTCAACCTCCATTCTAGCGGGCAAACTAGGCATGTGAACAAGCCTTTCTTTGTCCATGGCATTCCTCAGGACAAGTTATCCAAGCCAGGACACGCTGTAGAAAGACTTCAGTGGTGACGACTTTGCCTGCAAAGACTCTGTCGTTTCTGGTCCTCCAAAGAGACCAGCAAATTATACCAAAGCCGAGTCATGTGTCCTCCCGTATGATGTTATGAAGTATCCAATCTTGAAGATGACTGTCAAAAAAGCCTTGTTGATCAGAAAGATGAGTGAGTTGTATCCAAGTTAACCTGGAAAAAGAGCAGTCCCGCAACACATGCATGACTGTTTCTGGGTGCTGCTTGCAGTGGCCACAGATCGAAGAGGTCGCTATGTGGCGCCGCGTCCGCTCCTGGTTCGTCAATAGGCGGTTCCGAGTAGCCAGCCACGGGAAGTGAGTCACGCGAGCCGGTCCCCTCCACTGCCAGACCGTACGCTAGTCAAAGCTCCACCATTTGTCCACCTCGCCCTTGGCAATGTCATACGCTGAACATACCCTGAATCGGCCATCATTCTCTGGTCCCCATGCCATACCGTCCTCTCCTGCATGGAACTGCGGAGGTTGTATTCCCAGTACCTGCAAAACAACCTCCTCAGGTAGAACTCCCTGTAATTTCGGAAGATCCCACACACCTTGGGAATTCACAAAAGCCGCAACCGGCTGGGAAGGATCAATGGGTTGCCCGTCCTCCTTTGTTGAATCGAGCAACAGTTCCCCGCTATCAATCCACCTATCCGCCCAAAAGGATGTAGAGAGGCCATCATTGATGTTCATGCGCATTCCTGTCTGCATAATTGGCCAAGCCTTCTTAACTCCACGCCAGAGGTTGGACATCCTGCCCGCCGATTTGGCCATGAGAACTCCCTCCACTTTCCTGAAATACTTAGCCTGCAAAACACGCACCCATAATTCATCCGGATTTTAACGAAATACCAGGCTACCTTAGCAAGGAAAGCAAGGTTCAGCTCATGTGCACTGCGGAGCCCCAAACCCGCCTCCTTTGGCCGACAAATTGCCTCCCAATGAACCAGGTGGATCTTCCGTGCGGGTAATTATCATAAATGGTCACAAAACTATTCACTTTGTACAAAATGGTCACAAACCTTTAATTTTGCACGTTTCAGTAACATATGTTTGGACTAATAACAAAAAGGTAATTCCATCCATCTCCATCCAAAATTCTGTTAGTTTGGTCCAGTCACCTATCCCATCAGCATCCACGTCATTAATAAAAAATAAAATAAAAATAATTAAACCCTACCCAACCCACCACCCCGATCCAATCCAACCCATTCCTCTCTATCTCTTCTCCTTGTCCACCACCATCTCCAACACTCCACCACCACCAGCTCCTAGCATATAGGAAATACTCAGGGAAGGCGATGGCGACAAGGTCGGGGAAGCTTTTTGAACGATACTAACTCGACCCCTCCCTCCGATTTGGACAAGCGGAGAAAGGGTCTCCCACCTTAACCCCGCGCAAGATCGGGACGTCGCCGACCAACTTGATTAGGCTGTTGATGCGGAATTTGGGTCCTCTGATCCTGCCGGCGGCAGCGGCAGAATTGTGACTGCCAGATTCTACGTCCACGCGCAGCAATTGGTCGTGAATCCCATCTTCATCTGAATCGAAAGGGGGTCGGGGATGAAGATGAGGGAGATTAGGAAAATCAATGGAATCAGAGACGGCGAGGAGCTACCTGCTGAGGCGGCGAGAGTGGGCGGCGCCATTGTTGCTCTGCTGCTGAATGTTGATCGATTACTTGGCAAGTGATTGATGGATTATATATCATCAAGGTGGAGAAGAAAAGCCTCCCTCGCTAATTGGCATTTTGGATCTGGATTTTTGGTGAATTTGTGTCTTATGCTCTGTTTCTTTGCCCGGATAGATCTAAGGAATAAAGAGGAATGAGTTGGATTGGATAGGGGTGGGGTGGGGTTGGTTAGGGTGTATTTAGTTCTTATTTTATTTTTTATTAATTATTTTGATGATGTGGATGCTGAATGGACAGCTGATTAGACTAAACTAACAGAATTTTGGATGGAGATGGACGGAATTACCTTTTTGTTATTAGTCCAAACATATGTTACTGAAACGTGCAAAATTAAAGGTTTGTGACCGTTTTGTACAAAGTGAATAGTTTTGTGACCATAAGGACTGCAGAAGGAGAGTAGTCTGCATGGCATAAGCTGGGAGGGCATTCAGGACTGAGACCGCCAGAGTGACCCGACCCGCAAAGCTGAGGCTCCTCGCTTTCTAGCCTAACAGCTTCTTCTCCATACGATCAAGGATGTATCTGTACGTCTCCTTAGTCACGTTTATGACTTGGTAACTCACTAGGCGAATTTAAACTTTTGTTAATCGATCTGCATTCTCCTTAAGAGTTAACGATTTAACTATTAACCTTTGGTTAGCAATTTGATTAGTGGCATAGCCGTTATCAGTATAACCGGAAATTTCGACTTTTAGACTCCCTAATTTCTCGGAACCACAATTTCAATTGGATACCTATATTATATATGAATGATATAATGCATGTGTTTTTATAAAAAAAGGTTAATGTTGCATAAAGTTTATCATATATATACAAAATCTAGTCCGCCTTCGTGTCCAAAGTACTTATAAAATAGAAACCGGACCGGGACGTTGCCGGAACTTTTGAAGCTGGAACTGATTTGCTTGAATTGAAGTGAAGTTGGCTCACCACCGAAGATGACAGCGCCGCGAACCCCGCCGTTCATGGAGACAACTCTTCGCTTTACTCCGCAACACTTCGGAAGCAGGCCCATCCAACTTCGAGGTTAGAAATTTGCCGCTTCTTTGCATAGAAAACCGAAGGTTTTAACAGGCCAAATAAAAATTAGAAGCTTAAATTAGTTGGCGTTTGTCTAGATTTCATTTGTTGAAGGAAAGAAAGGAGACAAAATTTTGGATAGAACTAGAGAAGCAACTGATTCTGAGAATTGGTTTAATGATTTGTCCTCGGCAATACGTCGAACACTATGCATGCAACAGTGTGCAGACTAAAATTTGAGCTATGTGATTTTTGTCTCTCTGATTTGCCTATTTCGCTTCATTGTACAGATAAACTTGGCAAAGAGAATTTCTGGTTATGCAGCCGCCCTTCGAAACTCCAAGTGTCCCGCAAGGGGCACACGCTGGACTCCGCTGCACATCCTCTCTTATCGGTTTCCAGACCTATTCTGTCACGCTCACGTCGACAATTCTCTGTGAATTCTGCGGATAAACTTCGAAGTGATATGGTGAATGCTGAACCAGCGTCTGTCATTGAAGTTGTGTCACCAAGACAAGATGATGGAGACTCTCGTTCTAGTTCAACTGATCTCGTTGACGATGATGTTGTGTTGCTTCCCCAAGCTAAGATGTTCCGAAATAGGTTTCTGAATTTTGTTAGGATAAGTTCTGTAATCAACGATGCTGCAGGGGCATTTTTCAAGAGTGAAATAAGGCGCCGGTTATTTGTCACAGCTGCATTGATTGTGGTCAGTCGTATTGGATACTATATTCCGTTGCCTGGTTTCGATAGAAGGTTGATACCTCGAGACTACCTTAGTTTTGTCTCAGGATCTGTTGGTAAGTCCTTCTGGTTTCTGCAGTAGCACGAATGTACACTATTATACCTCGAGACTACCTTAGTTTTGTCTCAGGATCTGTCGTTTCTTCCAAATTTGATGCCCATTTCGTTTCAATAAGCTATCCCCTCTCCCCTCTGATTCTCCAAGTACTTGGTTGTTTCCATTTTGGCAGATGAACTCGGTGACTTAACAGCAGAGCTTAAGTTGTCATTCTTTCAGCTTGGAATCAGCCCACAGATATTAGCGTCGATACTCATGCAGGTGTGCTTCTTTTATTTTTTCTATGTACTTGTGTTCCATGTTAGCCTGTCAAACTGGTGATGCACAAAGAGTTATTATTGGTACCTGTAGGAGAATAATAGTGACTGACGAAAAGGCTTATTTTGGTAGATTTTTACCGACGCCAATGCTTGTGAAAACTGAATTCTAGATACAGAATCATGCAGTTTAATGCTCTATGTTATCATTAATCTAATCGTAAAGGGAAAACAAAAAGGAGTGAAAAATGTTCCTAAGCAATTGGAAGCAAAAGGGGAAGGTAGAGTGGATATTTGTCCTCTTCTCGTTCAGCCTTTCCCAGCTGACAACAGTATGGAATTATGGTTAAGTATTTTTTCATAAAGATAGGTAAGGAAGAAGAATGTTTGTGTTTCTTACATTGTTATCCGCTTTTCTTGGGGTTCCTCAGGTCCTCTGTCATGTACTTCCTTCACTCATAAAGCTGCGAAAAGAAGGCTTGGATGGCCATGAGAAGATTAAGAGATATATGTGTGTTTAGTTATCCATCTCAAGCAGTGAGACAAATTCTTGTCACTGAATCTTCTATAGATATTGTTGTCAATTATGTTGAGACTTCACTGGTACAGATTCTCTCCATTGTAGATGGTGGATTTCACTTGGCTTTGCTACTTTGGAAGCTGTGGTGGTTGCTTGTTATTCACTTCCCTATTCTGTATATGCAGCTAGTTCCAGGTATAGTGAAAAACATGCAGTGTCAGCTGTTGCTTTCTTAATTTGGTCGCCAGAAACCCCATATGGTGTGGATTTGCATTCTTACAGAATTGCTTAGCAGACTTTTATTCAAAAAGCTCGCCATAATGATTTTTTTTGGAACATTTTGCTTTAAGTCTCTTGCTCTTACTTCAATACTTCCTGCTGGATTATGTTGTGTGGATGCTGCTGTCTAAGCTGAGTTGTATTTGCATCGAGCTTACTAGAACAATAATCGTTTTCATATTAAGGTCAAAGCAGCTATTGCTGTCTATATACGGGACGGTTATTTCTGTGTTGACTCACTATCAGAAATGAATGCTTGCAATTGCTTTGCGCTTACAAGGTTTCATGGGCTTCACAGGTTCAAGCATGTAATGCTGACATCTCTTCTGTTGGTCTGTGGTGCAATGACTGTGACGTGGATTTGTGACACGATATCAGAATCTGGGTTTGGTTTGTTCTTACTCCCTTTGCTGTTGCCGAGCATTGTAGTTTGTTGTGATTGATTTTTTTTCTTTATCTGTTCTCAAGCTTCTGCTCCTCACACAATGCTTATTTTCAAATTAGTCACCACCATTTCAATCACCTTTTCTCCAGCATGTGCTGACTATCTTAAGGTTCCATCCAACATCCAGGTCAAGGATCATCTTTAATCATATGTGTTGGAATTTTGACCGGCTACACTGATACACTGCACAAGATGTTGTCTCAACTGTCAGGTAACAACGTAATAGTTATTGTCTTCTAACATTTGAGGTCTCTTTTCTTATATAACGAGGTTAAGGAATCTTTCAATTTTGTTTATTGTGGAGACAAGTTCAAAACTTGAAAATGGTCAACCTGATCATTTCAAGTCAATAACTCATCAGGGGTGATTAGTGCCCTAAATGTAGTGATGGAAAAATGCAATCTGAGTCATTATTACGAGACTAATTCTCATCCTATGATATTCACTTGTATTTCATAAAATAAATACATTAGCTACTGTATTCCCTTTCTCTGTAGTCATATACACAAGTCCACATGCAGAGAGAGTGGGAGTCATAGAACTTCCGGAAACGTACTTGCTTTGTCAGGTCAATTCGAAGTTCGATTTAGCAAGTTGGTTTCTTTGCAAATGCAGGGAGTGCCCATACTTGGTTACCCTATGTCTTTGGCCTGTTGGGCGTTTTTACTGTGGTCACTATGTGGGCAGTTGTTGTCACTGAGGGCTGTAGGAAAATAAAGCTGCAGTACTATGGTTTTAAACTTGCTTCAGCTGCAAGGTAAAGTTATCACCAGTGCATATATTGCCAGTCTTTTACGATATACCTGTGGTTCATCATAACAATTCTCCCGCTCTATCTTTTTTCCGAATTGGGTTTTTGGCAGAGATGATTCTGCAATCACGGAAGTGGAGCCTTACGTCTTGTTCAATATTAATCCATCAGGAATGCAGCCTCTTCTCACGACAACTTATCTCTTAGCCATTCCCAGTATTATTGCAGGGTAATGGAAATAAAAATGAAGAGAAAATAGTTTTGAACTTTTGTTCTGCGTTCGGGTTTCACTTAGTCTATGCACGATCATCTAATTGTGCATGCTATAACTTTCCTGGGAAGTGCTGTTCGATTTAATGATTTCTTACTGTGTTGCTGGCAGTATCCTCGGTTCACCTTTCTGGGAGCATGTTAAGGAGATACTGAACCCCCGAAGTTCTGTGGGTGCTGAGCCTTGGGTTTATTATACCATATATGCGTTCTTGGTCTTCCTGTTCAACATTTTTGATATTGTAAGTGTCTACTAGTTATCGACTCACTGTAACATATATTCTTGAACTGTGATGCAATCCCTCGTAAGCTCTTCCTGGATCTGCTTTGGGTACCTTTGGAATGGAAATTTTGCCACAATGCATATTTTAGCTATTTGTTTATATCCTGGTCCTTGTACCAAGCTCCTCACCATACACGGTGATCAAGTTGGTTTAGTAAGCACATTAACAATGTTCACATACAAGTTTTTCCTTATAAAAGATTACAAGCTATTGAGCATGTGATATGTTGGGGGTGCTTATGCTTTGTTATAATTATTTTGATCAGGCCAACCTACCAAAGGAGATTGCGGACTACTTAAATAAGATGGGTGCCAGGATACCAAACATAAAGCCTGGCAAGGCTACCATCGAGTATCTGACAAAGATTCAAGCATCTACCCGTTTCTGGGGTATGAGCATGTGATGTATCCGAATTTCACGGCCATTCCCTTGTCATCAATATTAGAACTTGGAATCAGTTTTCTTGTTGTACTTTGCAGTTAATGGTCTTGAAGTAGAGTGTGGGGTAGTGATTGTAATGTTTGGTACTTCCAAAAAGAATATATTTTGTTCACCACCACTTTCTGTGCTTGCTTGCAGGAGGGCTTTTGTTGAGTATGTTGGCAACCATGTCAAGCATACTTGATCATTATCTACGCAGCATAAACGAGGGATTCGCTATCGGGTTTACATCCGTTCTTATTATCGTAAGCACACTGTTGATTCTTGTGCTGTGTCGCTAATCATTGTGTTGTATCTTCAGTACTCGATAAGATTACTGTTATTAGATTTCAGTAGCATGATCTTATAAACCGGTTGAAACCTTGATCTTGCAGGTTGGTTCTATAATCGAACTAAGAAGATCCTACCAGGCCTACAATGTCATGCCCAGTTTGAGCAAAGCATTGAGGCGGTATGGTGTATAGCAACTGATGAAAGGTGTTGGGCTTTCTTGAATGCTAAATCATGTGCAGTGAAGGTTTTCATTGCAAGGAGGTTCTTCATTTCTTCTGCAGTATTACATGTGGAACCGCTCCGCTCCGTTCCGTTGATAGCTACCATCTTGGGCATAATTTATTCATGGAAACAGATGCTGTTTATGTGGCAAGTTTATGGCAAGGGTTCATCTAGCAAATACAACAGCAACAATGCCGAAGCATCCTCTTCTGTCCAAGTCCTAAGGGTGAAATGAAGTCGGACATAAGTTTTTGGGTTTCTGTAGCGTGCTATTTTGTCTGTTGATGTGCACTCCAGTGGCTGTTTGTGCGCAAGCAAGCAATCAATCTTCATTTGCTCGGAAGACGGTAGCTTTTCCTTCGACTCTCCACTTCATCCAAAGTGGCTTGAAGTCGGGTAAGACGTAAGAGTAGCTGGCATTGGCATCGCATAATAACATTTCCCAATTATGTTAGGTTGTCCAGCAAATATTCTAGGCAAGTGACGTTAAAATTCACGGCCTGTCATTTGGCGCATTCTTCTCAGTTGAATTTTTATTATTACTTCCTGACAATAATAATCTGAAAGCCGAGCGATGTCGATATTCACCGACGCCAGAAATAACAAAGATAGCCGAAGACGAAAAATGATATAATGGAACTACTGATTGACTCGAATGAAACTACACCACAAATTAATCCCGATTAGAGCTTAAGTTTTTAAACTCTAGTAGGGTGCAGTATAGAGCAAGTATTTAAATTGTTAACTCGGGTCGATTCATGTACCCCTACTTCAATCGCTTAGGTTGTTATCTAGCAAACAACTTTTGGGTTTAGAGATAATGAAACTACAAACTAAACAAGTAAAGAAAAGTAAACAAAGGAAAGCTCTAACTAAGGGAGTTTCACCCGGGAGTTGCTTCCCCCTAACTAGCTACCGTGACTCGTTGGATCGAATGGAGTCGTGTGGGACTGTTAGGCCTATATTTTTCAAAGACAAAGATCCTCTTTTACTTGGTCATCGTCCTTATTGCTCCACTAGTAAGCACGAGAACGAAGGAGGCTATGCTCCGCCGGAAGCAGTCTAGGCCTTTCTTTCAACGGCTATTTCGCTACTTTTGACCAATGACCTTACGACTAAATGTTCAATGCTTGCCCTATACCTAGCTGGATGGATTCCATTTCGAGATGCTTAGCCTATTTGATTGAGAAGCTCAGCAGCCAGCCGCAATCACCATCGCCCTCATCAGCCAGCAGCAGTCACCATTCCAATTCCAATCGCCGATTCGTCGTAGCCCTCAGGTGATGACTATGACTGATCACGTTCACGTAGCTTATTTACCTTGATTGTGATGGACTGAGAAATTTGAGTGGGACAGGTTTCAAGTGATATTCGATAGACGGGCAGCAACAAAGCTGAGCGGATTGCCGGAGAAGGCTTAAACCAGATCGTTCAATTTGCTTTAGAATAGCATTGGCGGTGGGTTTATCTTTGCTATGCTTAATTTAGTGTTATTTTCAATTTGCTTCAGAATACCTTGATTGTTATTTGTTTTGTTGTTCTAGTTTCAATTTCACGAGAATATTCAACGAGGTTTCTATTTTCCATCCTCTATCTATTTCCAGAAGCCACCCCTACCAGCTAGCCTCTGTTCATTTGGGTTTCTAATGGAGCTTTTAATTTTAAGCAGAACAATAGCAGCCAACAGCTATTTTTAGTTGTTGTGGGTGCTTGGAATGTTTATTTCTATGCGTTTGATTTTTTATTAATGTGTAGTTTGCAAACTGAGTATTTGTTATTGTGTGATTGGGAATTTGGGATGGATTTTGTGATTGTTAAGCAAGTACAAGTTAAGTTTAAATTTTTTATAAAATTTTATTAATTCAAACTTTGGGTATTTATGGGTAGTATGGGAACCCGTTATCCGTCCCGTACGGGTAATGGGTACCCGTTACCCCAAACGGGTTAGGGACATGGGATGGACTTTGGTCTCCAAACGGGACTGGGTACCCGTTTATACCCGTCCCTTCCCGTTTCCCACCCCTAAATTAATTTACATTTATTTAGTTAGATTGATTACAAGGTTAAATTTATTACATTCTAGGTTGTGTTGTTTTGTCGTATTTCAGGTTCTAGCAAGAAAAGAGGTGTATGGGCGCAAGTTTCGGGTCATTTGGAGGTCAGTTGGCGGTTCAGGATGAAAATTACGGGCAGACCCTGACCAATTACGGTCGTAATTGTTCCTGTCTTGCCGGTAAATGCAATGCCGAGCCTAATTTCCCAGAATTCCTGTCGCAGAGTCAATTACGGGCAAGAGTCACATTAATTACGGTCGTAATTCAGTAATTACTGGCAGTAATTGGGAAATTACGACCGTAATTCCCTTCCTCGGAGCTAAGTAAAACGCGCATTTTGGGCGATTTACGGGCAGACCATGATTACGACCGTAATTCAGCCCGTAATTCGCCCAGAATCGGGTTTTTGAGGCAGATTCGAGCCAAAGGAGGGGGAGTCGACTTTTTGGAGCAAAAACAGAGTTTTAGAAAGAGAAAGTGCGAAGAACAAACCCTAGGAGCTATTTGGAGTGGATTTCTCACCATTGAAGCCCAGATTGCGTCCCCAGGAGTGAAGATTGATATCCCAGAGCAGATTCTTCCCATTGTTATGAGTATGACTGCTTTGTATTCTGTTTCCCTCTCTCTCTCTCTCTCTCTCTCTCTCTCTCTCTCTCTCTCTATGGAGTAGAACTTTCTCTCGCTTGGGTATGAAGAACCCTAGTTCCATGTGTTAGGGATCTTGATTGAAATGACTTGGGCTTGTTATACTGTTTGATTTTAATCGATTGATGCATGATTCATTGAGTCAATTGAAGTCTGATCATCTTTTCTTGATTTCTGCTGCAACCTGAGATAGATAGAATCTAATTAGATGAAGCTCTAACAACCGGCCACCGATAGATGAAGCTCTAACAACATAATCAGATTCTATCTATCTCAGGTTGCAGCAGAAATCAAGAAAAGATGATCAGACTTCAATTGACTCAATGAATCATGCATCAATCGATTAAAATCAAACAGTATAACAATCCCAAGTCATTTCAATCAAGATCCCTAACACATGGAACTAGGGTTCTTCATACCCAAGCGAGAGAAAGTTCTACTCCATAGAGAGAGAGGGAAACAGAATACAAAGCAGTCATACTCATAACAATGGGAAGAATCTGCTCTAGGATATCAATCTTCACTCCTGGGGACGCAATCTGGGCTTCAATGGTGAGAAATCCACTCCAAATAGCTCCTAGGATTTTTTCTTCGCACTTTCTCTTTCTAAAACTCTGTTTTTGCTCCAAAAAGTCGACTCCCTCTCCTTTGGCTCGAATCTGCCTCACAAACCCGATTCTGGGCGAATTACGGGCTGAATTACGGTCGTAATCATGGTCTGCCCGTAAATCGCCCAAAACGCGCGTTTTACTTAGCTCTGAGGAAGGGAATTACGATCGTAATTTCCCAATTACTGCCAGTAATTACTGAATTACGACCGTAATTAATGTGACTCTTGCCCGTAATTGACTCTGCGACAGGAATTATGGGAAATCAGGCTCGGCATTGCATTTACGGGCAAGACAGGAACAATTACAACCGTAATTGGTCAGGGTCTGCCCGTAATTTTCATCCTCAACCGCCAACTGACCTCCAAATGACTCGAAACTTGCGCCCATACACCTCTTTTCTTGCTAGAACCTGAAATACGACAAAACAACACAACCTAGAATGTAATAAATTTAACCTTGTAATCAATCTAACTAAATAAATGTAAATTAATTTAGGGGTGGGCAAAGGGACGGGACGGGTATCCCATCCCGTTTGAAACGGGTACCCAGTCCGGTTTGGAGACCAAAGTCCACCCCATGTCCCAAACCCGTTTGGGTAACGGGTACCCATTACCCGTACGAGACGGATAACGGGTACCCATACTACCCATAAATACCCAAAGTTTGAATTAATAAAATTTTATCAAAAATTTAAACTTAACTTGTACTTGCTTAACAATCACAAAATCCATCCCAAATTCCCAATCTCACAATAACAAATACTCGGTTTGCAAACTACACATTAATAAAAAATCAAACGCATAGAAATAAACATTCCAAGCACCCACAACAACTAAAAATAGCTGTTGGCTGCTATTGTTCTGCTTAAAATTAAAAGCTCCATTAGAAACCCAAATGAACAGAGGCTAGCTGGTAGGGGTGGCTTCTGGAAATAGATAGAGGATGGAAAATAGAAACCTCGTTGAATATTCTCGTTAATTGAAACTAGAACAACAAAACAAATAACAATCAAGGTATTCTGAAGCAAATTGAAAATAACACTAAATTAAGCATAGCAAAGATAAACCCACTGCCAATGCTATTCTAAAGCAAATTGAACGATCTGGTTTAAGCCTTCTCCAGCAATCCGCTCAGCTTTGTTGCTGCCCGTCTATTGAATATCACTTGAAACCTGTCCCACTCAAATTTCTCAGTCCATCACAATCAAGGTAAATAAGCTACGTGAACGTGATCAGTCATAGTCATCACCTGAGGGCTACGACGAATCGGCGATTGGAATTGGAATGGTGACTGCTGCTGGCTAATGAGGGCGACGGTGATTGCGGCTGGCTGCTGAGTGCTACGGCGAGTCAACGACGGTGACTGCCGATGGCTGCTGGGGGCTAATGGCTGCTCGGTGGCGGTGCGCCTTCCTGTCGAGGAGAGGATGACTGGTCGAGTGGAGGACGTTGGGAAGAAGGGAAGGGTTTGGGAATCAGACGATTAGGTAGCGTTGCGCTGGGCGAAATGCGAATGGACAAAGAAAGGGTTCTGGCTGGGCTGGGCGCCTGATGACTCGGTATTTGCACATGTTTTCCCCTTTTGTTTCTTGATTGTTTGAGCTTGAATTATCGCGTCTTTGGCCTATTTTATGCTAGGTTGTGTTCCTTTGTCATATTTCAGGTCCTAGCACATAAAGTGAAGCATAGGCGCAAGTTTCAAGTCAATCAGAGATCAATTGACGATTTGGGAGAAGAAACTCGGGCATGACCTGAAGAAGAATGGATTTCTACCTCACTTCATGGACAAAGAATCATGCAAGGTGAAGCTAAGTTGTCTCTAGTACAAGTAAAACTTCCACCCGTTGAACGGTTTGCCTACTTGAGGATGTGTTTTTAAGGGCACGGATAGAGCTTCTGACCCCCTTTAATTTCATTGACCCTCCACACGAGTTGAGGAAAAGGAGTTAAAAGAAGTACTCTGGCGAGCGCCAGATGTACAGAAATTGCTCTTGCTCGACTAATAAGGGTCGACCGTGCAAAAGACTGCCGTTGGAACCCCACCAAATGAAAGAAAAAAAAAAGTAAATGAAAGTGAGAAAAAGGGGTTCCAACGGTGAAATGAAGTGAAAGAGCACCCCGGTACAACGAGTCCTTGGTTGTGAATGGTGTGAGTCCCTTTATCCATGAACTGACTGTCTTACTTCTACTTTTTCTCATGATCCTGGCTTGAGTCTAGTACTCGCATTGAGAGAGATAGGGAACGTCTTAGAAGACCAGTTGACCTCGTAAGCTGCTATATGATCTAGGAAATCCTCTACCGACGATCGGGGTTGTATGTTGCTATAGAGTTCTGGAGAGCTGCATTGGTTTGAGTTAGGTTTGCTTGGGGACAAGCAAACAGTTAAGTGTGGGGGGATTTGATGACTCGGTATTTGCACATGTTTTCCCCTTTTGTTTCTTGATTGTTTGAGCTTGAATTATCGCGTCTTTGGCCTATTTTACGCTAGGTTGTGTTCCTTTGTCACATTTCAGGTCCTAGCATATAAAGTGAAGCATAGGCGCAAGTTTCAAGTCAATCAGAGATCAATTGACGATTTGGGAGAAGAAACTCGGGCATGACCTGAAGAAGAATGGATTTCTACCTCACTTCATGGACAAAGAATCATGCAAGCTTGTCATGAAAAGAAATAGGACGAAACTACGAGCGTCTGGGATCAAACGGCGACTGATTCGGAGTCCGGACGAGGGAGAAATGAAGCGTTAAACAGAGGCTGGGTAAGCCACACGGGCATCCTGGAACCCCACACGGCCGTGCGAGTCGTGGCCGTGTGGAAATCACCGAGCCTTCACACGGGCAGCTGGGGAAAGCCACACGGCCGTGTGGCCTGGCCGTTTGGGTCGGGAATTGTTGTTTAAAACCCGATTTTCAGCGAAAGGAAAGGGAGAGAGCTGGGTTTTGGATCCCAAACACCCAAGGGACGAACCCTAGAGAGAGAGAGCTGGGTTTTGGATCCCAAACACCCAAGGGACGAACCCTAGAGAGAGAGAGCGACTTGGGAACATTCTTGGAGCTATTTTGGAGGATTTCTTCGCCATTGGAGCTCAGGAATCTAGCTTGGAGATGGAGATTGAAGATCTAGATCAGATTTCTGCAGTCTCTCTCTTCTCTATGGAGTAACTTCCCTTCACTTAGGTTTTGAGGAACCCTAGCTATGTTTGTTTGATTGGATGATTGTATGAGTACTCTGACTTGATAATCTTGAGTTCATATTCAATCTATGCATGTTTTCACGATTCAATTCTGCTTTAGTCGAGATTATTGATTCTGCTTTGATCCTATGAGAGCGAATACCTGATTAGGTCAATAGAGCACCATAGATTGATAGTAGTGGATCAATTGCTTTAGTCGTGGGTTGATTCACTGCTTTGTATCGATTGAGAACCTCATTCGATAGAGGGAGTCTAGTTCAGAACGCCTTGATCGATTGTTCTAGAGAAGGATACGTCCCTCTAGGCAATTGACTCAAGAGGGCCTTGTTCCTTTAGTCGAGACTCAAGGTCTAGTCAAGGATTCTCCGCATTGTGAATGAAAGTGAAACAAGTTAGAGATCATCAATCGGTAATCTGGCTAGTGGCTAGGGGGAATCATACCTAAGTGAGTTCCCAACCTGTAATTAGATTAACTTTAGTAGTTTGCTAGAGTAGTTTTAGTTCTTTCATCTTAATCTGTTTTGCTAGATAATGAATTGAAGCTGAGTAATAGTAACTCTAGAGACCCGTGGATTCGATATTTATTACTTGTGCCACTATACTGCAGTCCCTTTCATTGGTTACACTTGGCCATTGTTAGGAGTTGTGTTTTAGCGAGTCAAGTTTTTGGCGCCGTTGCCGGGGACTTTTAGAGTATTAGGAAAGGCAGAAGTTTGTTACTTTAGCGTTTTTATTTTCTTTTCCACCCTTGCTTTTCACTTGGGTGTTTTTGTTTTTATTGGTGCAGATCTGAATCATGGATCCTCATGGCTTCTCCAACCATTGGGGGTATCCACCACCATCCGAGTGGTATTACCCCGAGACCCCCTGGAGCAATCAAGGAGGAGAAGACTATGGATTCGGGTTCCAGTACCAACCCCCTTACTACGGAGATCAATCTGACCCCTGGGCATATCAAGAACAATCTCATTATCAAGAAGACTTTCTCCCACAACCAGAAGGGCCATCAGCGCTGGAGTTACCCATGGCGGCCTTCACGGGCCATTCTGCAGAGCCATGCTACACTCCAAAGCCAGATCCAAACTATGAACTGAGGCTTCTCATGGAGCAGTTTGTTCGGGACTCCGAGAGACGCAATCGCAAGATGGACCTCCTTTTCTCATCCTTTGCTCCTCCTATCTCTTCATCCCTCCGTGAATCGGAGGAGAATGTTTCGCACTCATCAAAGCAACCAGAGCGGGTTGAGCAAGTTTGTGCACAACTTGCTCAAGATCACCCGTCTGCTACCATACTAGAAGAGGACGAGGAAGAAGAAGGCTACAAGGACATTGTGGAGCACACAGAAGTTGTCACGGAGAGCTCCCGTGATGATCATGATCAGGAATGTCATAGCATAGCCGACCACACCTTCCCACATCCCAAACTGAGCTTTGAAGAGGTGGGCATGAGTGAGGAGATGCCAGAAGATCTCATGAAAGAAATTGCTTGGCAACTTGCTCTCCAATCCGTGCTAGAAGAAGAAGAGCAAGAAAGGGTGCAGAAAGAAGTTGTGGAGGATGACGAAAGTGAAGCAGAAGGAGTTCTTGATCATTTCCCAGGGGTGATACCATATGAACAAGGAAGGGAGGTTGAAGAAGCAATTGGCGTCCAGGCTGAGGACGGAGTTGAGGTGGAAGAGGCCTGCACCGGCCATGAGTTACATGTGATATCTCCACCAAACGTCGAGGAACTACTTAGCAAGGACCCATTTGCAGTGTCTCTTTGCCAGACCAAGGCCACTTCGACATCGGTCCCTCTTGGTGGACGCGGTGGTGGTCATTCGATGCTGTCATATCTAGTTTGGGGCAATGAGACGAGAGAAGAGAAGAAGGGGTCTCGAGGGTGGAGACTTCATCCGCATCAAGTGCACGAGCTTCCATCACCTGTCATACCACATGCTCATGACTTGAGACTCCACCTCATTGACGAGAACCTCAACTTCAAGGAGGTTTTGGGGTGGACCGAAACTTAGGAGCCATCGTCCGGCTCACGACGTGAAAGAAGCGCTTGTTGGGAGGCAACCCAACCAGTCAGTTTGCATTTCTTTCTCTATTTCTCCTCGGTTGAGTCAGTTTTGTTATTTGATTTTAGAGTCAATAACTCAACCTTTGTGAGATTTTGTGTGGTGTTTGTGTTCTGATTACTCTCTCTTCCTGGAATGCACCGCCTGCCCCGTCCATCATCATTCACCCTTGATCTGGTAACTTCGTTCTACCCTCCTTATCTTTCCTCCATTGAGGACAATGTCGTGCTTAAGTGTGGGGATTTGGTGTTCGATTATGTATGCGGGTGAATGTTTGGCTGTTGTGTGCTTGGAGCCTAGTCCACTGTCCAAATTTTTAAATTTGAGGGCTCCAAGTACGTGTTTCCTTGCAAATTGCCTGCTCAGTATGCTTTGAATTGACAGACTCTATAGTAATGTGCAACCTGGGGAGGTAGTGTAGCACTATGGAGGATGTTGAAGTATAAGATTTTTCCTATCTAGCTCTCTGCTGTGCAGGTTGATTTTGTGAATTAGTGGAGCTAAGACCGTTGAATTCATGTGGTAATGGTGACTCTGTTTGGATTGTGTTATGGACTCGTGTATCGAACAGGGTGCTAATATGGAAAATGGGAAGCAGTTGGTCCTCCATGTCAAAATCATTAAATCTTAAACATGGGGTAAGCCCAACGTGTGCGGCACCGTTCATTGCACAAAATTGGGTTTTGGAAGAGATTTTAGTGATCCTTAGTGGGGTACTCCTACAAGGTGAAGCTAAGTTGTCTCTAGTACAAGTAAAACTTCCACCCGTTGAACGGTTTGCCTACTTGAGGATGTGTTTTTAAGGGCACGGATAGAGCTTCCGACCCCCCTTAATTTCATTGACCCTCCACACGAGTTGAGGAAAAGGAGTTAAAAGAAGTACTCTGGCGAGCGCCAGATGTACAGAAATTGCTCTTGCTCGACTAATAAGGGTCGACCGTGCAAAAGACTGCCGTTGGAACCCCACCAAATGAAAGAGAAAAAAAAAATGTAAATGAAAGTGAGAAAAAGGGGTTCCAACGGTGAAATGAAGTGAAAGAGCACCCCGGTACAACGAGTCCTTGGTTGTGAATGGTGTGAGTCCCTTTATCCATGAACTGACTGTCTTACTTCTACTTTTTCTCATGATCCTGGCTTGAGTCTAGTACTCGCATTGAGAGAGATAGGGAACGTCTTAGAAGACCAGTTGACCTCGTAAGCTGCTATATGATCTAGGAAATCCTCTACCGACGATCGGGGTTTTATGTTGCTATAGAGCTCTGGAGAGCTGCATTGGTTTGAGTTAGGTTTGCTTGGGGAAAAGCAAACAGTTAATTGTGGGGGGATTTGATGACTCGGTATTTGCACATGTTTTCCCCTTTTGTTTCTTGATTGTTTGAGCTTGAATTATCGCGTCTTTGGCCTATTTTACGCTAGGTTGTGTTCCTTTGTCACATTTCAGGTCCTAGCACATAAAGTGAAGCATAGGCGCAAGTTTCAAGTCAATCAGAGATCAATTGACGATTTGGGAGAAGAAACTCGGGCATGACCTGAAGAAGAATGGATTTCTACCTCACTTCATGGACAAAGAATCATGCAAGCTTGTCATGAAAAGAAAGAGGACGAAACTACGAGCGTCTGGGATCAAACGGCGACTGATTCGGAGTCCGGACGAGGGAGAAATGAAGCGTTAAACAGAGGCTGGGTAAGCCACACGGGCATCCTGGAACCCCACACTGCCGTGCGAGTCGTGGCCGTGTGGAAATCACCGAGCCTTCACACGGGCAGCTGGGGAAAGCCACACGGCCGTGTGGCCTGGCCGTGTGGGTCGGGAATTGTTGTTTAAAACCCGATTTTCAGCGAAAGGAAAGGGAGAGAGGTGGGTTTTGGATCCCAAACACCCAAGGGACGAACCCTAGAGAGAGAGAGCTGGGTTTTGGATCCCAAACACCCAAGGGACGAACCCTAGAGAGAGAGAGCGACTTGGGAACATTCTTGGAGCTATTTTGGAGAATTTTTCGCTATTGGAGCTTGGGAATCAAGCTTGGAGATGGAGATTGAAGATCTAGATCAGATTTCTGCAGTCTCTCTCTTCTCTATGGAGTAACTTCCCTTCACTTAGGTTTTGAGGAACCCTAGCTATGTTTGTTTGATTCGATGATTATATGAGTACTCTGACTTGATAATCTTGAGTTCATATTCAATCTATGCATGTTTTCACGATTCAATTATGCTTTAGTCGAGATTATTGATTCTGCTTTGATCCTATGAGAGCGAATACCTGATTAGGTCAATAGAGCACCATAGATTGATAGTAGTGGATCGATTGCTTTAGTCGTGGGTTGATTCACTGCTTTGTATCGATTGAGAACCTCATTCGATAGAGGGAGTCTAGTTCAGAACGCCTTGATCGATTGTTCTAGAGAAGGATACGTCCCTCTAGGCAATTGACTCAAGAGGGCCTTGTTCCTTTAGTCGAGACTCAAGGTCTAGTCAAGGATTCTCCGCATTGTGAATGAAAGTGAAACAAGTTAGAGATCATCAATCGGTAATCTGGCTAGTGGCTAGGGGGAATCATACCTAAGTGAGTTCCCAACCTGTAATTAGATTAACTTTAACTGTAGTTTGCTAGAGTAGTTTTAGTTCTTTCATCTTAATCTGTTTTGCTAGATAATGAATTGAAGCTGAGTAATAGTAACTCTAGAGACCCGTGGACTCGATATTTATTACTTGTGCCACTATACTGCAGTCACTTTCATTGGTTACACTTGGCCATTGTTAGGAGTTGTGTTTTAGCGAGTCAGCGCCTGAGCCTGAAGGAAGATGGGATTGGGCATGGGCTTTCAGTTCAGCCTGTGTAATTTTTGAATGGGTAAAACGGGTAACCATATTACCCAAACGGGTATTTGCGGGTAACCCTACCCATTGTGGGAATGTACAATCCCAAGTCCCGTCCGTTAATAATTTTACGGGTAATATGGGTACCCGTAACCCTCAAATAAAGGGACGGGGATGGGTATACCCAAATACCCGTTTTCCGTTGCCCACCCCTAAATTAATTACAAAGTTGAAAGTAAATTAAACTTACTTGACATCATAGGTGGCATTTGCTACATGTCGTAGCTCCTCATCTTGCGTCCAGCATTCACGCGGGTCTTGAAGTGTTAACAATGGAAGATGCTCCAATGTCTAGAGCTAGAGGATTGCACCACCAGCTTGTTTCGCTCCCACCTTCGAGCAAGTACACAGCTCCCTATATACCCCAGCTAACACGGCCGACCCCCAACTCTTTCTCCCATTGTCGTCCCAATCACCGAGGAGCAACGACAACCACATGCCACCTATCCACCTGTTCGCCTTGCCGGGGAACAGAAATCCACCAACCAGGCCAATGAGGTAGATGCGTGCATACCGCTCCATTTGATATTCAGGGGTGTTTGGGCCGATCGAACCTCATTTTGGATGTGAGTAATGAGCCACGAGATTGATATTTGACCTGCATTCATCGGTGGATGTCCACGTCCTTGGACTTCAGTCTGGGTCGGCATGTCAAAGCCGAAACGATCGAGAATCAGCGGCCCCTAGCCTTCTTCGGGTTTTCTCGAGCATCCGATGATGGTGATCGTCGTTTCCCCTTTGCGAAGACAGAATGTATGTGTTTCTGGGCGCCATCGCTCTGCCATTGCCGTCACCAGGTCGTTATCGAACTCAATCCGCATGAAGTGCCGCACCATATCCAAACCCGTCCTCTCTAGATACGGCGATAGTCGATCATGCCAAGCGAGCAAGTGTGTTGTCCCTCTATGTGTGATGGAAATAAGTGATTCCTACAAAAAAAAAATGCAAAAAACACCAAGTTGTTAGTCAAAGGAAAGCAAAATAAAAACCTTTCAAATTACTTAAATAATTAACAAATTAATATGGTACGGGGTATCTACCGGATTGTTGTGCCAAATTGCATGAGAGCGATGTGTTGCTTGTTCGGATAAATACTAAGCATCCCTTGGCCTAGGATCGTATATCTCGGCACCCATTTATAATTTTTTTTTATGAAATCAGATTATTTTGATTATAAAAAAATAAATCACCAAAGAAAAAACAAGGACGTACGTACGTACATACCTCAAAGCCTCTTCGTAGGAAATAACTCTAGGAATTCTTTTTGATGTGGAAGATCGAGTTTAGCCGCAACCACAGAGTATACTAAGAACAAAACTAGAGTGGGGGAATGGAGGGAGAAAGAAAAATTGTGTGGTGGTGTGGTTTGGAAGGGGAGGGAGGGAGGTGTGGTATTTATAGGAGCTGGATCCGCTTGAAAGAGTCACAGGTTCATCACCGTAGCAGTCAACTGCAGTGAAGACCCCGCAATTCTCGAAAGCGGTGAAAGGCGCGGATCACTGACGTGGGACGCTGTGAGGCGTCAAATCTATGGGGAAAACTAGAATTCACGCCTCACTGCATTCAACAACAGCGGTGAAGGGGCGGGGCGACGCAGACTGCTGACGTGGACTACAATCCATTCACCGCATTTGTGGACGATAGTGAATGCATTGTGGTCCACGTAAACGGTCCGTGTCCCCTCGCCTCTTCAGCGTGGCCGTTGTATCTGAGTGCTTCACCATTTTAGTGTACTGCAGTGATGATTGAAATTTCAACACTGCGTTTCACTAAAACGATGATGTGTTCACCGTTGCAAATAAAAGCGTTGAACACATTACTGCTTTAGAGGAACGCGATGAATTTCTTTATTGTCTTTAACAATGACGGTGAAGGTGAAACATGTGTAGTTTGGAAAAAAAAATTATAACGCATGTATTTTGGGATTTTTTTTAATAACATGTGTACTTTGGGATTTTTTCGATATTTTGTCACTTTTATTTATTATTATTATTAAGTGGACTTAAAGTGGGGCCTAAGACGGACTAATTGCATGCGGCGGATGGGGAGTGGAGTGCTCTGCATGCGTTGGGACGGGTCTCCGCGCTTCTCTTCGTTAAAGGGGGACGAATATTGGGTAATATCTATTTTTTATCCAAACCGTTTTCAGATTCGTTTATATTATCCAAATTTATTAAAATTCTATTAATTAGCCAAATCTTTCGTAATGTATCAAAATATTAGCCAAATCTTTCGTTATCGTTAATGATTTTGTAACTATTTTCTTAGTTGAAATACCAAATTTTGGAATGTTGACCTTCATGTGTCTCTTACAAGTCAATATTACTAACAAATCAATATTACTAACAAAATTGCAAACTGGAAGTCAATATTTGGCTAATTTTTAGTATTTCGATATGTCTGACTAATAAAAAATAATCCGAAAAAGGTTTGGCTAATAAATAGTGATTAATATGTTTTTTTGTTCAATTTGAGCCAAATTTGGCTCAATTTATTATTTTTTTTGGACCTTTTAGCTTTTTTAGTCATGATTAGAGAAGGTATTTTAGAACTTCTGGATTTTTTGACTACCTTTGGTCCTTTGGAGATGATCTAAAAATTAATCAATTGTTGGAGTATTAATAAAACTCTATGATCTGGGGAAATTATGGGCTGGGTTCTCTGGCCCAATGTTAGACACACGGCTGGGCAGACTAGCCTGGAGCCCTGGACTATCGGCCCATACCACGCTTCCGGCAGCTGAGCTGCGGGGCAAGTCGCAGCCGCAGGCAAACAATCCAACAGCGACGGGACAAAAAAGAAATTTCTTCAGCCGAGGTCCTGATTCGTTGGAAAAAGAGTGGAATCTCTCTGGTTCTTCGTCCGCAGCTTCGTCTGACATGGCAGGCGAGAACTCTGCCACCGGTGGCAGGACCGGCGTTAGGGTCGTGGTCGCCGGAGACCGTTTCACTGGTAAATCGAGCTTGATTGCAGCGGCGGCGACGGAGTCATACCCTGAAAACGTCACTCACGTTCTTCCTCCCACTCATCTCCCCGCCGATTTCTTCCCCGATCGAGTCCCCATCATCATAATCGATACTTCTGCCGCGTAAGCTCTTTCCCCACCTCGTAGCTTCGCCTTCGCTGATAATGAAATTTCATAGATCATTGAGACCTGAAAGCGACCGCTTTTCGCTTACACTTTTTGGCCGAAGTTTCCAACTGAGTGCTTCTACCCTCAATATCGTTCATCTTCTTAATTGCTGTCTCTTGTTATTATGACATTGGCGTTATTGTGGCTGTGCTTGTATTAGCTTGGAGAATAGAGGGAAGCTAATTGACGAGCTAAAGCGAGCTGATGTGGTGGTGTTAACTTACGCTTGCGATCAACCATTGACATTGAATCGTCTAAGTAGCTTTTGGCTCGAGGAGCTTCGCCGATTAGAGGTCTTATGCGATTATGGTTGTGTTTTCTATTGTTGATTCATAATGAAGAAATGCTCTTTTTTTGTGTGTGCTGATAGATAGAACTTGCTTGTCTCAGGTGAAAGTACCAATTATCGTAGTTGGTTGCAAGCTCGATTTGAGAGATGAGAACCAGTCAATCAGCCTGGAACATGTCATGAGACCGGTTATGCATGAGTACAGGGAGATTGAGACCTGCATAGAGTGCTCTTCGGTTACCCTTATGCAAGTAAGGCAACAGAGTTTGTTATTAATGTTTAGTTTGACTTCTAAAGCTTCCATATTTGCAGAAATGTGTGGTCCTTGCACCCTGCATTAATGCATTATTTGTATTGCTGGTAAAAAGGCATCTAGAATTCATGCAATTGCATCACTATTTGTGATCATAAGTTCTACTTGATGCATTGATGACCGATATATTGTTACTAAAGTAAGTGTGCAGGGAGGGACATGATTGTTTGCAGAGAGGATGTGCAGAATTAAGAAAGAATTGACTAGCGAGTATGAGTTAGTCCTTCATAGTAGCTTCCTTTCTATTCAATGGCGCTTAGGATCTCGCTAATTGGAAAACTCTATTACCATTTTCGGTTCTACAATTTGTGTTGAAGAAAAATTTATTGTTTCATTGTGTATCATAGTGATAGTTTATGTCTTCCAATATATAGAATTTGTTCTACTATTCTATTAGGACTCAACCATCATCCTGGGTATTTTGTAGGTTCCAGATGTTTTCTATTATGCACAAAAAGCTGTACTTCACCCAACAGCTCCATTGTTTGATCAAGAAACTCAATCTT